ACGCGAGTAATGACAAGACTTCTGGCGTATGCTTGGGAATTTCAGAGTGAACAACTGTTAAGCTAGATCCACCTAGACATTAAGGTCACGGCAAAAACTTTACTTTGGAAGCACGAAAAGAAGCGAAAGTAAGCCTTCTGGTGCTTTGTCCTCGTCAAGAAAGTGAAACTCAAAAAGAACAGCCCCGAACGCTCTGTCGGGAAGTGAATTAGGCGGATTGTTTCGTGCGAATGTTGCGCAAGGATGTGCAATTTAAATGGACTGAAATTAATTTCGTGTTCATCTTGTAGGGCTCATATTCAGCGTATCAGTAAATGCTAATAGTTGTTTTGACACATGATTCCTTTGTTTTGTTTTTTTCTAAATAAAAAAAGAGTTTTTAGAGAACTAATGATTCAAGATCCCATGTGTTCTACGACGAACAAAAACGTTTTATGACATCAAGCTGCCGAGATCGCCCAAGAACAAAACTTGTAGCCTGCAGATCGGGATTTTGGGTGTAACCGGTTTGAAAATTCCCTGAAGCGGCCATTCGTGATTCGCAATTGGCTAAAGTTTCTTCATTTACATAGATGAAGAGTTGCAGATTATTGGTGGCTACACGGGAGTTGCTTAAAAATCGTTGAACAATTATGCAAATTGCTATTCTTCGATACTAACAAAAGTAATATTTTGCAGACTAGTAAATTAAGAATGTAAAATCTTAATTAACATGAACATATTATTTCAAAAGTCCAAACCATTTTGCTTCATTCTGTAATCATGTTCTGATAAAAAAATTTGAATCATCACAAAATTAAATATTCGATTTATAATAATATTTAGTTGTTTTTGATAGATATATTTCTAAAAAGTATGCGAATAATTATGAGTCTTTCGCGACATGTGTAGTTTTTTGTTGTTTTTTGTTTTGCATTTCAACAACATTGCAGTAAATGTTAAGGTTAATGGTTATATAATTACCTTCAATTATTGTTTCACAACAGACGGAAATTTCTTGCCAGTTATTGACTCGTCCGTTTCCACATACTAATTACTAAGAGATTTGCTTGTAAAACTACTGTAATGGTGTACCACTTGTTACACCGGGTTTCGTTCCAAGGTCAAAACATGTTTTCTGAGAGTGTCAAGTGTGATTTTGATTATTGATTCCAAAGCAGGTGTGGCATTTACTAAGATAATTCTATAAGAGAAATAGTGAATAAATGAAAAAATATTACTGGACATTAATAATAGATTACTTAATTTAGTTTAAAAAAATTAATTTAGCTTAAAAAATATGTAAAATCATACCGACAAAATGACGTGCTTGTTTCTTATTAACTTGAAAGGAAACTATTCGTTTATCTGTTTAAAGGTTTTAACCCTTCTAGTTTACTTTTCAGGAGTACAATAATCTAGAACTCCTAAAGTAGGCATGGGACCGTTAGGATAGTTTTTGTGTAATTTGATCGATCAAATTATGATGGAAACGCTGTTCACTAATTGTTCTTTGTATAGTATAGTGTTTCATTAGTAAATATGAGAGAACGCTTGACCATTTTAGTGTTTCTCCGAGTTAACAAACCTGTTTTATTAACAAATCTGACAAAATACCTTTCCAATAATTTTATTTTTGTATTGTCCATTGTACCAATAGCACATATAAGGGTATGCTTGCCTGCTAACTTTTTCTTTGATACCCAAGTCAAACTCGTATACTGAACAACTACCATTCACTACACAGTCAGAAATTTCCACATTAATTTAATGAAATGTACATTAAAGAAATTGTCATGCACGCACAGTAAATTTATTGTACACATGTACAGTATGATGCAAGATTTTACAGTCCTATTTGGAAGGAATGAATTATCTTGATGGACTGGTTACAATGAATACACGATATGAATGATAAGAGGCAGGGGAAAGAGGCTTACCTTTACTTTAAATCTACACTGATTTTAGCTTATACATTAATTTTAATGTAGAAATATGTTAAGCTTTTTTAATGTAGAAGGTAGCATTGAGTTTCATGTAGAGTGCATTAATGCACATTGATTTTGACGGCCCTGAATGGCGCGAGAGAGTGACGGCGGGTGTCGCGCGTGTGTTGCAGCCAAGTACACGTTCCGCATGCGGCTGCCGCTGGCGGTGCGCTGGGAGGCGGCGCCTGCGGCGCGTCCCCGGGGCCACGCCCCCGCGCCGCGCCGCGCTGGCCGACGCCGCGCGCCAAGGGCTGGACCGCCTCGCCATGCAGTCCGACCTGCGCGACGATGTACCTGGGCGTGCGGGTGGCCGGCTTTCGCGCCGGCGCCCGCGCCCGTGTCTCCGCCCTCTGCCCCGCCCCCGCCCGCGCCCGCCGCCGACGCGCCCACGCTCGTCGAGTTCCTGCTGCCAGCTGAGCGCCAACGCGGACGAGACGCGCCTGCAGGACGCGCTGCGCAAGGCGCCCGCAGGGCAACTTCAGCCTCGGCGGCACCTCCCTGCGCGCCGACCGCGACTCGCTCGACCAGCTCGTCGCTCAAGGTGAGTGCCCGCCCCCCCCCCACGCCAAACTCCGAGTGCTTTTTTAAATTGAATTGTCTTAACAATACGGACCAGTGCCGGCCTGGATGACCGAGGTCGCTAAGGCTAAACAACCGTAGCTACCTCGCGCCCGAAGGGTCGCGCGTTCGAATCCCTCCCGGGGAATGGGTGTTCGTGTGTGTGTCAGTGTACAGTATGCTAGTTCCTCTACCGTTGCCCCCGAAGTTTAAAAACTGATGGTAATTAAAGTGGTCATTGTATGACCTAGTAGTAGAACAGTGATCTTAAAAAATTACAGTACAACGTTTAGCCACGTGGCTTTTTAGTTGATTGACCAAGTAACTTTGTACCAGCAATGTGTGAAGGAGGTAACTTGTCACTTCCCTGATAGTAATTTGTCAGTTAAAATCTTTAACCAAAGTTATTGAGAGGATAATTTTGGTTACAATCGTTACAGGGCGATGACAAGAGTTTAGAAAAAAAAACAGTGGGCGAGATGCCTACCTCCACGTATAATACTTCGAGTATAATAAGTATACATGCATTATTCGTTTTCAAGGGCAAAGCTAACCAATATCAGAAAACAGCAAAACACTCTGATTTAAATAATTTTGGCCGTTTTGATAGCATACAGTATTGAACTGACTATTGTGGTTAAAATAATAATTATTGCTTTGTTTTATGTTACATCTTACCACTATGTTATATCCCTATTTTGTAATAATTGATCATTGGAAAAAGTAAGTATTAGAATAATCAATAATCATAAGGATTACACCACTACAAAACGACCAACTGAAGTCCGAGCTGAATCTAATTCTCTTTATTGTTTTTAAAAATGTTAAAAGTTCTATAATCTCAAAAATCCCTCCAAACACAGGCGACATATATTCCAAATATATAGGAGATCTCTGGCGTTTTGTAAAAACACGGCCTGTGCTTTTCACTGCAAGCTCTAGCTTCGTGGGTTCGATTTCCTATCATTCCATGCGGAATCTATGTTGAATAAGATGATTTAATCCAATTTTACACATACACATGTTAGTTACCGTATTCATATTATTAGTGTGTTTTATTAATTCCCTTAACTATCTAAATTTGTCATTAAAGAATGTTTATTTTTTCGATGTACATACTCGTTATTGTTCTAAATGAAATAATCCAATAATCTACTCGTATGTTCGGAAACTTAAATCAAAAAGAACCAACACTTTATATTTTAGTTCACTATAATAATAATATATTTTAGTTCACTAATATTTTAGTTCACTATAGCTGACTCTTTAAGTACCTTCACTGTTAATAATGTTATCCTCATCGAGAACAGCCGACTTAAGTGGCGCCGCCATTCCGCCTCGTGCTCCGCTCCCAGACCCGCATTCCCGCCCGCGACCCACTCCGCTTCCCGCCTCCGCTCCACGCCCCGCTCCATCCTTCTCCCTCCCCTCGCCGTCCCAGCACCTCGCGTCGGCGCCCCGCCACGTCTTCAGGTGGCCGCCACTCGGCACCGCAAAAACTAGTGCGGCGGACTTCCAGCGAAGTGGGCCAGAATTGCAGCCGCGCCTGGCTATTTACAACACTTTCTCGCTCTGGGAGCCGCTGGATTCCTGGGTTTTATCCCCGTGTTGGCGCAGCTGATTCGTACTCGGCGACGGGTTTTGTGCTCGTTCTGGGTAACCGGGTAGTGCGCGAAGGCGCTAAAAAGTGATAGTGAAGCAAACAGGCGAAATTTGGCGTCGTTCTGGAACGAGCCTTTGTGACCTATCTTGACTGGAAACGCCTTTTTGTTAAATGTGGATTCGTTCATGCGATAAGTCGTAAACAGGTATATATCGTTTCACAATTCTTGCTAGGATGAAGGTGTTTGTAATAATTGTTGAAAAGAATTGAAAAAAATTATTTCTGCCTTCATCAGGATGATTAATGTGCGTATACGTGTACGCTACCCATTGAATATTGTCCAATCACACTTGAAATTAATTTAGGACAATATTTACAACTTGATTAAGAGCCTGATACTGCTGATCGACCAATCTTAAACTATAATGAGTATTGGCATCGGTTTTATTCAAAATTCTTTTTACCACATCCATTAAGTAAATATTAATTTAAATTAAAACAACAACAAAAGAAAATTGAATATTGCACGTTCTTCGCCGAAGCATTAAACGTATTACCCCGCCGTCAAGTACGGAGGAAGAGTCCGTGTGATTTGCGTAACGCGAACTTTCGATTTTGAAGCAAAGCGAGCAACACGTGCAGGAGATGTGTGGAAGTGGGGCAGACCCCCGTTAATCTGCGGCGCGCGGGTGCGCGGGCGGAAGTCGAAATGGCGAGCGGCAGCCGCTTTTTGCAGGCGGACGCGCAGACGTGGCCTCCTTAACACACGTTGGCGTCAACAGCTCTCAGCTGTTATTAGTACACAAGAAATGCCCGTTAACGAAATGAATTAGATAGAATGCAGAGCCGTATTCAAACAAGTTACAATTGAAATGTTTAAAGGTAAAAGAAAGCTTGCCAGTAATGTAATTAATTACAATAATTCTTTGAAATGTTTATAAACTTGATCATAGCGTCGCCAGCACCATTGTAGTGGGAGGAGAGGATTCAATAAATAAGATATAATTTCCGGAGAGTCCCCTCCAATGTACTTCTTATGCCAAAAAATATTGGAAGCGCCCCCTTCCACCTGTTCCTCGTGGCGGTGACGGTAACGAACGCAGTAGAAATTTCTCTATTAAATTATTGAAAATCAAGAGTAAGTTGAGGATAGGCTCACGTGCAACACGCACTTGAGATCACGCTACAAACTCCTACGCCTCCAGGCCGGCACTTTTTGCTTAATTGTAGGGTGGAAAAGCATAAGTGGATACGTAAGAAAATCAAAATAATGAAATAAAGAGAAATGTTCTGAGAGAAGCCTTTGCTGAACGTACCTAAGAGCTAGCTCTTCTTAGTGAGTCGCCTTGAGCTATTTTTAGTGTATAACAAAGCTTCTTATGCAGGTCATTGCCGATACACAGTCATATCTGATGGAATAAAGTAATTTTTCAAGAAGTTATACTAAGCCCTTCTGACTTTCCTCTTTTCGATGACCGGAAGAAGTGGCTCAGTGTATCAACTGATGTCACTGCAGTGCTTCTGGCCGGGTGGACGTAGATTCGATTCCCGGCTGTGGCAGGCACTAGCCACATAGGTAGGTCGAGTTCTGTCGCTGTCTGGAGGAGAACTCTAACAGCTGGCTGCTCTGATCGGTAGTTTTCCGTGGTTTCTCTGATCAATAACAAGTGAATGCCAGAGCAGGACCCTACCAAACGGGACACGGACCGCGCGCGTTCTTCTCTCCCTTGCCATGTCCTCACCCCTTACACACACTTACACGAACATGCACTACATGCTGGGAGACTGGTTGGGGTCGTAGAGCTTGTGTCCATTGGGGCGGTGCCACGCTGGGGGGAGATTCCTGGTAGGGGAGAACCCTTCTAGCCGACGGTAGGTCGGCGCCGGATCTCGCTATCCATCTGAGAAAGATCCCCTCCACCACCACCACCTACTACTACTATTCCGCCGACGACGGCGACGAGGAGAAAGCATGCACTAAACTTACGGGACCAAAGACCTTAACCGTTAATGCGATCGGAATCGCTAATCAATCAATCTCTTAAATTATTAGTGATTCCTTTTTATGTATATCTCGTGCGATGTGTGACTGTGCTTGCAACTTGGCCGCAGACTTCGACGAGTGCGCGAGCGCCGAGTTCCACGACTGCGCGTCGGAGGCGCAGTGCTTCAACCTGCGCGGCTCGTACACGTGCTCGTGCCGCGAGGGGCTGGCCGACGTGTCGCCCAACCGCGCCTTCCCGGGCCGCCTGTGCTCGGCCGCGCCGCTGGGCTGCGCGCGCTGCGGCTTCCACGGCGCCTGCGACGACGCCTCCGGCGGCTGCCGCTGCTTCCAGTGGTACGCCGGCGACGCCTGCCAGATCAACCTCAAGGGTGAGTCCCGGCTCCTGGCCTTTCCATCTTCCCGCGGGCTCTAGGGGGCGTAAGGTCCACCACAAAACTCTTTCTAGCGGTTGGATCTTCGGTCGGTCAGTGCATGTGCTAGCTACGGAAGATCAAGTCACAAGCCCGCCCCAACATCTTTCTTACAGTTGGATCTTTTGTTAATCACAGAATGTGATAAGTATGTAAGAACACCCCAAATGGTGAGTTCCGACTTCTGCTTTACGGCTGGACCTTACGTTGGTCCCTACATGCGCTAGGGGCGTAAGATCCACCAAAAAAATGAGCCCCAAACTGTCTTGCGGTTGGATCTTCTATCGGTCAGTGGATGTGCTAGGTACGTAAGATCATGTCAGAATGTCAGCCTCAACATTTTTCTTACAGTTGTATCTTGTGTCGGTCTCTTCATGTGCTAAATATGTAAGAATAACAAATAGTTAGTTCCAACTCCTGTCGTCTTACGGTAAGAACTTACATCAATTGCTGCGTGTACTAAATACGTAGTCAACTCACACGGGGAGCCCCAACTTCTCTCTCCTCGTGGCAGCACCTTTTGTCAATCACTGCAATTACTAGACCTGCACGATCTATTCACAGGTGAGTCACCTCACGATCAAATCCGGTCGATTTGTTGTTCAGTACGCACGACCCAGATTACCTCAAGAGTGAATCACGATTTCTCTCTCCTTCCGGTTGGATCTTCTGTCATTTACTGCATGTGATAAGACTATATGATCTGCCTTAAGAGCTAGTTCTAACTTCTCTCACCTCACAGTCGAATGGTTTGTCGTGTCATTTGTTAGACTTGCAAGGTGAGCCACCTCTCTTCTCATGGTATAATGTAGTCGATTTGTTGTTAAGAATACATGTGTGAGATCAACCTCAAGAATGTGTCACAACTTCTTTCTCCTTATGTATCTTTTGTTTCTCGCTGAATGCGCGAGGTCTGTACAATCAATCCGCAGAACGATTCTCTTACTCTTCTTCCTGACTGTGTTACCAGTTATTTAGCTTGCACACCGCATGTACTGTGCTAGCCAGATCAACCTCGATAGTGAGTCACAATCTCTCTCATTCTCTCTCCACGACGGAACATAGTCGTTTCCTTCGACACTACATGTGATGGGCATACCAGATCAACCTCAATAGTGAATATTCCTTATTACAGTTAATTTAGTATTATGAAGTCACAATTCTTAACATAAAATTGCAGAACTTTTAAAACAAACTCTTAAAATCCTTGGTTAAAAGCTCGAATGTATTAGAACCCTTTTAAAAAAATATATTTAAAACTATCATACTTATGTCAACAAAACTATCATACTCAAGTCATATTAGATTCTCGGAGAGAAGTCTGAAACAGATGAACATAGTATTTTCTTTGAAACATTTTTTTAGTGTATTCAATAATTGCTATTGATTCTTTTTAGTGTGACTTTAATAATGGGTCTTGTTCTAAAGAGGGGTGAAGTGATTAAGAAGGATTTGGTAAATAGCTTGCTTTCACCCAACTCTCCCATTACGGAATGTCCGGCGAAACAATTATCATTGTGAAGGAAAGAACAGCTTTTCCACGGCTTAATCATCTGAAAAACAGTAAGGTCAAATGAGTCACGACGAACAGAGAGAGTGGATGCAGTGGAAGTATGTGGTTGATTCATCATATTACTCACATCGTTTACAATTTTAGTAGTTAGTAACAACATCCTTCATATGCTTTTGTATTTCTACCTATAATTACGTAAATTTACCATACACTTGTAAGACACATGGATTATTTTCAACCTCACATTACGTCCGTAATTCATTGAATTTAGGACTGTTTTTCAATTCAAGATGACCATGAAAAACGCCATTGATGGGGAAAGGGATGCCAGACGGATCACACACGATCCGTAGTCCTTTCCGAAAGTGCCCCTTAGCATGCGGCAAGCTGGGGAAGTACCTCGAAAACCACCGGCCAGAGTAGCGGTCTCTCCAAGATTACTCTTTACGGTGCCAAAATGTTTCGTCCATTAAACCGGAGCCTGAAAACTGCTGCTCACAAAAATAACGTAAAATAAAACTCACTAAATTTCAAATATTCGTCTATGCCTAATGTGCTTTAATTTTTATATTACTGGTAATTATTTTAACATTTGTACATTTAATTTTTCTCGAAGGTAGATGTGAGAAAAAAATTGATTCGTCAATAGAGCTAGAAAACTAATGTACGTATAGAGGTCTCAAATGCAGCATGTTGAGTGAAGTACGTCAGTAAATCGATTTACCAGCTTTTTTTGGAGAATACAGCACAAGGTGGTGAAGACACAAGTTAATTGAGAGATTAACTTCAGATATTGTGATTTTAACGTTGAACAGAACGAAGAAAGTCACTTTCTCGAGATTAAACCAGTGAGTTAAGAATCCATTGTGCATCTACTAATGCTTTTAAAGACGTAAATATTTGCAATGGATTTTACTTAACACTGTTTAATTGAACGGTAATCATTATCAATATGTGATTGATATCAACTCGAAATAAATATTCGATAGGTATTAATATAACTAAATATCGAGAGAAAAATGATATAAGGAAAAAACGCGTTTCCATACAGTTTGGTCATTTATATATTTTAATAATAAATATTTTTTATATTTTAATATCCTCGCCATGTGAAGCACTCCTATACGTTCGAAGATTATCTGTAGGTGCTGTAAAATTTAAAGGCTTTTTTGTTTACTTACTTTCTTGAACTTTCGAGGAAGGAGGTCAGAAAAAGACAATATTGACTTTTCACTTCAGTGGGTTTCACACATCCCGTTTTAAGTAGGACTAGACGTGTGCACAGCAAAAAATTTGCATCACATATCAATGCAGAACATTGAGCATAGCGGTTCTCTGTTGAGGAAACTCAGTGAGATTCGTTCTAAGTAAAAATAACGAAGTCAATAATGAGCTTTCTTAGAAATATTTGATCACTATTGAAAATAATTAGTATGCCTTTCGTATTCGTTTGAAAAAAGTTAAATGGCAGGTTTAAAAAAAATTCCCTCGTCATCATCCTGTGGAGCAACAGTTATTTTAACGCATGACAATTACAGGGGTGCGGCAATATCCGTCCATATTTAACATTGAAATGCGCACGAAAATCACACAAACACCAGTTGAGTCATCATCGGAAGTACCCGCAAGAAGAACCGCTTTGTTCATCCTCAAGGCCGCCCATAATGCTCCCTTCCTCAATTTCTCATTCGCAATACTCTATCGATACGCGAATGCTAATTTTCCCGTCCGCTAATTGCGCCGACGTCCATTGCCTGGGAAGTTCTGTTGTTCTTGTAGCGGGTGGGGTTTCGTAAGGCGCCCGATGCTGTCAATCGACGCGTGATTCCAAGGAATTTCAATGCCGCGCTATTATTTACGTGCGGCGCAGCGGCAGCCTTGGCCTCTACCGGAGGCACATCCTGGTAACGGCGGCTGAACCAACAGCCCCCGGCGCGGCGCGGAGGCGAGGCAGAAGCCCCGTTGCGTCGGTGACGCACCGCCCGAGGAGCGCAGGGCTGGCCGACGCGCTGACCTCATGGCCTTGGAGCCTCGCGGTTTGGCTCGCGCTCGGCTGCGTAGCAGATGGCGGCGACGATAGCGCGTCTGCACGGGAAATACGACTCGTGTCGGACATCCAGATGCTTGGACCATTCTTCACCAGTAGACTCCCGAATGGCCATGCCAACCGAATAAAAATGTATCTTCTTATCAAAATTTCCTTTCTACGCGTCAAATGTGTCTTCTATGAATTTCATTCCATTATCTTTAAACTGACGCAGAATTTCATGGATTCTAAACATATTCGTATATTTTTGTTGTTTGTCTGTGACCTCGAAAGCGGTATGATAAGATTATGTTTATTTTTCATTGCCTTTGTCTATGATGTTCTACATGAAATTAGGGTGAAAAACAGAAAATATGTTTAATTATGGAAATGTTACACCCCACACAAATGTAAAACGCTTATTGAAGAAGGTATAAATCTGGGGAGGGTGGGAGGAAATCAAGCAGAGAGTTCAAAACATATGATAATTTGTAACATTCGTCATGCAATTTAGGAAGAACAAAAAAAATTTAAAATGTGAGAATTTTTCATTTGGACTCGGGAGACTCTCGAAATGAATCTGTAGTTGAATGTAAGGGGCTTGGAGGAAAGGATTCGAGAGACAGAAGCGAACGTACATCCCTGATCATATCTTTTTGTCTGCTTTATACAGACATCTTTACAATCTCGTGTCCATCCGTGACATACGAGCATGACTGCATATACATTCGTTGCATGGAGGCCTATCCCCCGAAGGAGCAGGCGCCTGCTGATCCCTTGGTGCCGTGTCGCTAGGCCCGCATCAGTAGTAACGACACGTCAACAGCGCAGCGGTGGCAGAGAGGCCCCGTGTCGATGGTGACGGCGTGGCTTGCGTTGCAGTGCTGCTGATCGCGCTGGTGACGCTGGGCTCGGCGCTGCTGCTGCTGCTGGCTGCCGCCGCTGCTGGCGTGGTTTTGGTGCGCGGGGCGCGAGCGCGCGCGGCGGGGGCCACGGCCGGCCGCGCCAGCGCGCGCCCGCCGCGCCCGCCGGCCTTCCTGCGCGCGCGCGCCGCGCGCCGCCGCGGCCGGGCGACAAGCGCGCCATGATCCTGGACACGAGCAGCGAGGCGAGCGCGGAGCAGGCGCCGCCGGCCGCCGCCGCCATCGCCGACCCCACGCGCAGGCGGCCGCCGCCACGCGCACGCCCTGCACGCGCACGCCATGCACGCGCAGGGCGAGGCGGCGGCGGGGGCGGGGGCGCGCCCGTGGCGCTGCCGCTGTCGCCGACGGCACGCTGCAGAGCTGCGGCGAGCAGCGCGACCGCTCGCTCACCGTCATGATCCCGCGCGCCAAGTACCGGCCCGCGCGCCCACGTCGCCGCTGCTGAGCGCGGCGGCCCCGTGGCTTCGCGCCGCGCCCGCGGACCGGCGCCGCGCGCCGCCGCCAGGAGGCGCAGCTGCGGCCTGCTGGAGGCGGCTCGGCGCGGTGGGCCCGCAGCGCCGCCGCCGCCGCCGCCCGGCGCGGGGGCGGCGCGGGGCGGGGGCGGGGCGCGGGCGCGCGTGGCGCAGGCGCAGGCCCGCCATCGCAGCGCCGCTCGGCGCCCGCCGCCCCCTGCTCCGTGCCCGTGGCCCCGCCCGCGCCGCGCCGCCCCGCCGCCGCCCCCCGTGCGAGCCGCCCCCGCCCCCGCCGCCCGGCGCGCTCGTCTCCGCGGGCTACGCCGTGTCGGCGACGGGCGGCGGCGGCCGCGCAGCCGACTGCAACAACGTGGGCAGCGGCGGCGAGTCCGCCTTCACCACGCTGCGCACCGCTACGGGAGACAGGTGGGTGCGCGCGCCTCCGGCCTCCTCGAGCGGTCATCTCTTGCGACGAGTTACGAATGGACAAATTCCATAAATTTCCACAAACATTGCGTAACACTATCCAAAGAAAATAAGACCTTGAAAATGAAAAACGTTTATATACAGGCTTTTGTAAACATCTGCCTTTACGTAATAGTTGTTTTACTAAAATTATGTATTTAATCCCCAGTCAAGTTACAGTAAGTTTTATCGAAATGTTTTTTTTGTGTATATAATAGAATATTTGCATTTATTTTAAAATAACTTAGAGTTGAGGAAATTTAACACATAATCGCTGACATTGAATGTCACCTTAACAAAATTGCAAGTAACTGCCGTGTTCAGTAAATGAGTTTTGAGGAAAAAAGCGTAAAACTTAGCATTTCTGTCAGGAATGAGTAATTCGCGAGTGACAAGGCCATTGCTCCTTTCCAATATTTCACTGTGACTAACACCTGCAGCACGAACGGTTTCCTTTTGCTCTTACTCCACTGGGTTCTTTGAAAAACGAAAACATCTCATTAGCAGGTTTAGCGAAGATCCTGTTTACTGCTATCGCCTCGAGCTGTAGAAAACTTCTTTTGATTTGTGACCTCATCAGCAATCCTGTCGCAATGAGTACATTTTGGAGATTATTTTGTGAGTGGACAGAAAAATATTAAATAATACCCATTTTTTCAATCTCGAAAAATAGTCTAGTAGATTAATAGTTTCAAAACCATCCTTGTGTAATTAAATATTAATATTCGGCTTACTGAATTGACTATATGCTTTCTGACATTAACTAAAGTTTATTGATGTAATAATGAGCTTTAGGTACACTTAAAGGTTGAAATATCTTCGTTATTCAAATAATTCAATTTTTTGATTACATAATTTAGGAATAAATAAAAAATAATTTAAAATGTTCAATTAATGATGCCAATAAATTACAGGAAATTGCAAAACAAAAAAGTATTAAATACTTTTTTTAATGAGTTACTGATTACCTAAATTTTCTCTTTTGGTCAGGAAATGTTGATGAAACGTATATTTTACGAACTTTGATTGTCCTTGATTCGTGATCAGTAATACGAACTGTAAAAAATTGCCAAACTCTGTGTTTGTCGTAAGTCTACCAAAGAAAGCTGCACAACTTTATTTCCACTGGTTCGCTCTTCTGACGCAAGCACTCTCCGGCGTGGGAGGCAGGCCCTTGTTTCTCCATTGTTTTGTCGACGGCCGTAGCGCAGCTTACGCTACCGCACGGAGAACACTGAATGTGTAACTTTTCACCTTCCCTAGACCAGGGCTGCTCGAAAGCACGGCTGCCCGCAGTGGCTTGCTGCAGTGGCAGTAGACTAGAGCCGATCGCACCCAAGCCCCCAAAGACCCCAGCCAACGGCCGTCGCCACGTGTGCTTGCAGGACGGTGTCGGAGGCGCGGTCCTGCGACGAGACGACGGTGCAGGCGCCG